TCGTCATTATCTACTACCTCGAAGACTTTCCTAAAAAACGTTAGCAGATTTGTTGGACAATATTTTCCCTTTGTAAACCCATGTTGAGAGTCGTAGATTAATTTGCTTTTCTCTAGATGCGATCGGATGCTATCTACTATAATTGATTCAAGAAATTTCCCCACTACTGACGTCAAACTAATCGGCCGGTAATTTGACGCTGATGCTCTGTCTCCCTTTTTGAATATGGGTATTACATTTGCCTGTTTCCACAACTCTGGCACAACTCCAGTGTCTAATGATTTTGTAAATAAGTTTACGAGGGGTCCGCTAATCTGTTCCCTACACTCTTTTAAGACTCGAGGAAAAATTTCATCCGGCCCTGGGGATTTTGTATTCTTTAGTTTATTTATCTTCTTAAGAACATCCTCTTTTCTGAGAGTGATATTCTTTAATTTCTCTTCTTCCTTTCCATTAAATATCAGTTCCACCTCCGGAATTTCATCGCAAATTTCTTCTGTGAAAACTGATAAGAAGTAGCTGTTCAATGCTTTGCTTATTTCTCCACTGCCATTTATCAATTCTCCCCTCCCTGACTTTAAAGGCCCAACTTTGTCCTTGACCTTTGTCCTATATACCTGGAAAAATCCCTTGGGATTCGCCTTGGATTCTCTTGCCATTTTGATTTCATAGTCTCTCTTTGTTTTCCTTACATTTTTCTTAACATTCCTAGATAGTTCATTATACCTGTTTCTGAGCTGCTCCTCCCCTCCCTTTTGTTCTTGTGCTTTATGTAGTATACTAGTGAATATATTATAGTCATGATCAATTGTTGTGTCATCTATGACCTCACCCCTTCCTACTGGGAACTGACGTGACTGTTCCCAGGTGACCTCACCTAGGTTCCTTCTTAAACCCTGATAATCCGCCAACCGAAAGTTTGGGACTCTGACCATATTGTCATTGTTTTTCGTTTCCCAATTTAGGGTGAACCTGATTTCTCTGTGATCACTGTTACCTAGTTCTTCCCCTACTGTGATATCTCTGATAATATTTTATTTATTTGTTAATACTAGGGCTAATATATTGTCACCTCTAGTAGGTTCTGTAATTAGTTGTTTCAAAAAATTGTCCTGTACTGCATCTAGGAATTCTTCAGATTCATAGTCGCCTACAATGTTGTCCCAGTCAATATTTCTGAAGTTGAAATCCCCCATAATGCATAGGTTGTTATATTTTGCTGCCCTACTCATTTCCTGCCATATGGGCTGAGCTGCTTCTTTGCCAAGACTTGGGGGGCCTGTAAATCACTCCCATAATTAGTTTTTCTCTTCCTTCCGTGATTTCTACCCACACAGACTCGGTTCCTATTTCACCCTTTATTGAATTATTAGTACAACATTTTAATGTATCCTTGACGAAGAGTGCGACCCCTTCCCCCTTCCTACCTTCCCTGTCCTTGTGAAAAAGGTTGTACCCTTCTATGTCGCCCCTTCTGCTGCTCCACGAACCCTGAGATTCAGACCCATGAATCCGAAACATTTATGGGCAGAATAAATGTCTACTGCTTCGGGTTCATGAGTCTGAATCTCTTGGTTCGCGGAACAGCACAAGGGACGACAGGACTTCTGTTCACGACTGTACATACCATGGTCTACCAAAATCAGCAGATCTTAAAATTATAAACATTTTCAGGTTCAACAATGAATGTTCATTTATCTGCCGGATTGTAAAGGAAGATTTATAAAGTAGAAAATTAAAACTACTTCATAATACTCTAAAATTATTGTATTGTTGGTTAGTCTTTCAAATTGAAGTTAGTTTTAATTTACAACAAACAGTTACATTAACCTTTATTTAGTATGAGCTACATGTATCATCAAGTTCATAGAAAACGATATTATTGGTATGATAATTATTGTATCAGTTATGTTAATCAGTATTATTGTTGTATTTACTAAAATTATAATTATCATAGTTGAAATATAAATAGTATTCATACAGTATTAGTGACTTTTATAATAACTAGTATTATATAGTTTTCAAAATATACCAAATAATCTCTGGGATATATATACAAAAAATGGACACTATTGTGTTTAATTTATGTTTGTGCAAGAGAAAAGTTTACTAAAAGTGAGAGCAGGACACGTTTAACAAACACTTCGAAACATTTCCTAAAGTCTAAAATAATATAAACCTAAAAAAGGGGAGATAAAATTTATTAAAACCGAATTACTTGGATATTAATTGATCACAAGTTAAAAAAAATAAATAATTAACACGCACAAATACGAAGTGTCGAGCAAGTGTTCCATATAACAATTCTGATAGCAAATTACAGTATATATATATATATATATATATATATATATATATATATATATATATATATATATATATATATATATATATATATATATATATAAACAGGACAATAATAAAGTATATTTGTATCCAAACAGAAATATCAGTCGACTGATGACAATTACAGTGGAGGCTGTCCCGTAGTTAGTCAAGAACTGTATTGCTGTTTTGGTCTTGTCCTCATTCCCTTATTATAGTTTTGAAACAGTGCTTCATCATTGGTGATATAATTAAATAAATAAATATCCTTCCTATGTAATGTTAGATGCTGTGGCCAAGAATAAATCCCGATTACATAATTATATTAATTCTTACGTTTAAATAAACTCGGTAATAAATAACAGGGACACACAAAACAGTGCTTACTTGCTTCTAACAATAATGGCCATTAATAAACACTTTCTGAAGTTTCTCAATCTTCAACACCGTAAGTTTTCAGCGTGTTACAATTGCCCTTCAGCCAAATTATGTGTACTTCCTCACGCACAGACGCCAATAGAAAGGATCAAGAACAAACAAAAACAAATATTTCCTGGTGCAGCACAAGGCCAAGCCTCTTCTCGTAAACATCTATAGAGTCAAAATTTAGGTGTCCTTAGTCCCTAGAAAAGTCCTAGATATTCGGCCAAATACTATACGTATACTGTACTAAACACCTCTCCCTTCCCATCACCCCCGAATGGATATATTAGGTGCAAGAGCTGCCCACCAGGCCTTGTCTATACAGTCGAGTACTTTAAACGCTAAACACCGCCATCTTGTTCAAGACTATCGTTTTGGATTTAGTTCTTCGTTGACTATGGGAAAAAGTATTCGAGTCAACCGGTTAAAGACACGGTCAGCTAAAGATTTTCAGCAAATATTCTCCACTTTTGGATTATGCTTTCCTCCAAGTGATTTCTGGTGAATCCAAACCAGATAGACATGAGGAACTATAAAGGGATCCAGGTCCAGTCAAACAAGAGTTGACCGTATCTTAACGGTCGGAGGTGTTCTATATGAACCTACTTCCTAATTTTACCGTTTTAGATGGAACCTTCACTCATATACCACCAATAAACATAGCACAAAGAATCTCAACCATAACATACCATCTGAACTCGATTCATTAAAAAAATTGGGACAACAAATTGAACGTGAACCAGTTTTGAGACAAACCAGAGTAAAGAAAGTGAACAAAAATAGTAAGAAACTTTGGGCAAACTTCAAGGAGTATATGTTATCAATTTCTACACAATCAAGATCAACTTAGCGAGACTAACGGCTTCTGTAGGCCGTTAAATAGACGGACAAAATGGATTTTTTTTTCTTATGCAGTCTGTCTTGGTTGTTTAATCCAAGATGCAAATATTTGCATAAACAAAAGTTCAATGATTTGATTGAAATGCCACAAAAAAGTGATAACTGAAAATGCTATTTACCCTAAAATAAAATTGGCAGTTATATACAAACTGCTGCCACAAGCAAATACATTTGGACAAAATTCCTTTCATTATTTAATTTTTCCTCATTGCAAGAAGAAAGAGAACTCCAATTCGTACAATTTTAAGTGTAAGGTTTGAAACACATTGAAGGTGATAAACAACCAAGGATATAAATACAAGTTGACATCTCATTTTAAGTTAAAACAATGGGCAGGAGCCATCTGTACCGTATTGGAAAAATATATAAAAAGATAACCACCCAAACAAACCCATGAGGAGGGTCCCCAGTCCCTTCTGCTGTAAACTAATGGAAATAAAACATGTCTAGTTACCTCAGTTGTTGCTAAGCCAAAGCCATAATTACAAAAGGTATACGTGACGAAACCTAAAGTGTTAAGGATGGTGGCATGTCCCTGAATGGTTCACGAATGATTTAATGAAGCCAAATTTAGCCACACAAGATCTACTTCCCAACAGAGAAGATCACGTCATAATGGACTATCACTGGGGTGATTTAGCCTCTAACACTGTCAGTAATGACTATGGAATGAAGAACTGTACTGTGTTAAGAGATTTTACTCCACAAGGCCTTGGGTTGTAAGGTTAGCTACCTCGGCATATAAGTTAGTCCGGACACAGACAAATCAATAAGCAGCGTAAAAAAAAAAAACTTAAACTAAAACGTAAGACTAATTAATATTCTAACAAAACACTTTTTGCCTTAATGTGAAAAGGGCGGACGCCGATTCTGCAGTAAATAAGCAGGCCAGGGGATAGCCAGTCTAGGGTCTAATCTCGATGGCGTTTGGTTAAGTACTGAAAGGTGCTTTGTTCTTAACAAGCTGGCGTAGCGCACAATTATCAAACTGTACTATACAAGACTTTCCCTTAGTAGACAGTTGATGCACCCGATTTTCCCATTTTGGGATAATGGATGTGTTGAAAAGGGAGGACGATTGATGGTCTTCCTTGTCTAAGAACAACAACTGGTAACATTGGTAAAATGTGGGCAAGAAGCTGCCTGGTGTAAGGCTTAAACTAGAATATTTACCACAAAAGTTCTTATTCCAATAAGATTTTTTCTTCACATTGATCTCCGAACTAAAGTACGACTTAGCGTGTAGAAATGGTTCAGTTTCCAAATACCTGACACTGTATTGCTCGGGAATATGAGAAATGCATAACTAACATTTTGCTTTTTACTACATGTAAACAAAGGTCTTCCAATTTCTACTGGAGAACGAGTCCACATCCACTGATTTCGACTTGATTTATGGGGATATAACTTGCACTCTCCCTCACCACGTCGAGGCCGGACACCACCTCACCAAAGGGATACCGCACCAGGCCGCTAGCGTTTGCACTAGTACATATGCCAAAGTGCGAGGCATAGTGCACTTTCCCACCTGAACTGGCTACCACCAGGCCAGCTCGACGCTCCTCGGAATACACACCATCCCACCATCCCACTCCATTCATCAGGCTCTCGGCGCTTATGCTCCCGTTTGGTGCTCTGTAGGCTCCAGCCGTCACAGATTCGTTTCGACAACCTCTAGAGGTAATCTCCAGAAGCGTCGTTCCTAAAAAAGAAGGACCTAAAGTTCCCAGGCAAAGAGCAAGGAAATGTTGAGCACGACGCAGGTGGCCCCACAGCTTGATGTGCACCCTGCCTAAGTTGACCTGACCAACACTAAACTCCAGGAACACTTGGAGCCCATCACACGCCAGAAGCCGCTCCACCGCCATCAGCTGCAATATTTGTTGGTCATTACAACATTGCTACATCCAAAATAAAATAAATGGTATTGATACTGAAATATCATAGGATCATGCGTCAATTACTGTTTGACTCGCAAGCATGCAGCCTGACTGTGTGTGTGAGAGAGAGAGTGTTTGTGTGTATGTATGTGTGTGTATTTATGTATGTATGGGCATTCATTGATGACTGGTTTGGGCATTCATTGATGACTGGCAACGATTTTATGGCAACGACTACCTGTACTGTCGCGACGGAGTACACTTGTCTCGTGAGGGGGTAAAGACGTTGTCTGCATCCCTGGAGCGTGAAATTGTCACTCCGAAGGGGGGGTTTCGCCAGTAGAGAGGGGTCGGGGAAAATGGGAGTCAAAAAACAAGCAGGTCCTGGGAAGTAGTGAAACAGAAGTAGATAATGCTGAAAATATAGTTAGTCATAATAAACATCAAAGTAATAAATGTAAACAGATAGAAACGGAAGAAATATATTGAGTGTCATTATATCCCAAAGCATATTTTATTGCCTAATCATCACTACATAGAACACCACTCATAAAGCATGATACTATTAGACCACAAACTGCTATAAACCCCCAATAATATACTATACTAGTGACTATAATTGTGTTACCCAATATTATACGAAATAATACTATAAAACATAATAATAAACACACTAATAGTGTATATTAGTTGAATGCACAATCTGATGAGAAGTAAAAAAAAAAAAAAACAACATAACAATAACCTAGAAAGAGTGTAGAGTATTTTTGTGCAAACTATTATACTAGTAGATGGTCTAAGATAACTGTATGTGAAGGAAAAGGTGTGCTCTCCACTCAAACTTTCTTTTTATGAAATCTCCTACTCCCCAGCTGAGCGGTACGCCCAATGGGAAACAAAACGTGGCACATAACACGCCGCCCGCCAGCTCTGGCTCGGTGAATAGGAATCAGTAATCGGGCGGAGTATAAACAACACCGCCGCCAATGTGCTCCTCCCATCTCTGAGGAAATCTGGCCGGCAACTTAGTATTATATTAGCATGTAATAATAATAACAATAATAATAATAATAATACTACTACTACTACTAATAATAATAATAATATTAATAATAATAATATTAAAAATAATAACATGCAATTTCATTTTATAACACATACAAACAAAATAGTGTATAGCCTACTATACTTAACTATAATAGGTTAGGTTGCGTAGGAGGATCTAAAAAGTACAGTAGTATACACACACACACACACACACACACACACACACACACACACACACACACACACACACACACATACATACATATAGACAACAAACTAAATTAGAAACCACACGTCAGTGAAGTTATCAAATCCTCCAGTTTCCGTCTCCACCTCCTACGCCGACTCAAGTCCCTCGGTGTTCCTGCACACGAGCTCCTCAGTGTTTACACAACATTCATACTTCCCAAGTTCACCTATGCCTCCTCCACCTGGTCTTCCTCCCTAAATGCCACACAACGTAAACACCTAGAAAAAGTGCAAAAGAGGCCATGCAAGATTATTCTCTACCCTTCCTACTCCACATATCAAGAAGCGCTCAACACACTGACCCTTTAGACTCTCACTGACCATCACCACGACCTCATCTGCAACTCTAAAGCCATAATACGTAACTGTTCAGCGGA